TAAAGCCTTGGTCGCTGAGCTGAAAAAGATGTCTAAAGAGGTGAAAATTATGCAAATCTATGTTAAAGTTCATTGATGACTTGAGTACAACTGCTTCACTAAACTTGGTTTTGAAACAACTATTCTTTCTAAAGTTGTGCTCTTATTCCTTCTTGATAATTGTTTAGGTTGAGGACAGTGAACTAGCGGATGTAGCTGCAGTTAGTGCAGGAAACAACTATGAAGTTGGAAATATGATAGCAGAAGCAATGGGTAAAGTGGGTAGGAAAGGTGTAGTGACTCTTGAGGAAGGGAGAGGTTCTGAGAACAGCTTGTATGTTGTGGAAGGCATGCAATTTGACCGTGGCTATATCTCCCCATACTTTGTTACAGACAATGAGAAGATGGTAGCTGAATATGAAAACTGCAAGGTATGATTAGCCATGACATTTCTTTTTGCATGTTATCTTCGAATACTATTTCCTGGATGTACTAAAGAATGTGTTATGGATAAATTGTTTTTTTNTACATCTGTTGTTTTGGCACAGGGGCTCATAGCTGAAGGTGTTAAGGTTTGTAAGAAGTTGCTTGCATTTTGCAAGCTATTTCGAGGATATGATGGTGTTATGATTGATGTAGCTTCCTTAATGCTGGTTATTCAGGTGGTTGCAGCTGGTGCAAACCCTATTCAGATTACCAGGGGCATTGAGAGGACCACTAAAGCCCTGGTCGCTGAGCTGAAAAAGATGTCTAAAGAGGTGAAAATTATGCAAATCTATGTTAAAGTTCATTGATGACTTGAGTACAACTGCTTCACTAAACTTGGTTTTGAAACAACTATTCTTTCTAAAGTTGTGCTCTTATTCCTTCTTGATAATTGTTTAGGTTGAGGACAGCGAACTAGCGGATGTAGCTGCAGTTAGTGCAGGAAACAACTATGAAGTTGGAAATATGATAGCAGAAGCAATGGGTAAAGTGGGTAGGAAAGGTGTAGTGACTCTTGAGGAAGGGAGAGGTTCTGAGAACAGCTTGTATGTTGTGGAAGGCATGCAATTTGACCGTGGCTATATCTCCCCATACTTTGTTACAGACAATGAGAAGATGGTAGCTGAATATGAAAACTGCAAGGTATGATTAGCCATGACATTTCTTTTTGCATGTTATCTTCGAATACTATTTCCTGGATGTACTAAAGAATGTGTTATGGATAAATTGTTTTTTTAAATTTTCAGCTGCTTCTGGTAGACAAGAAGATAACAAATGCAAGGGACTTGGTTAATGTTTTGGAAGAAGCAATCAGGGGTGGATACCCAATATTGATAATCGCTGAAGACATTGAGCAGGAAGCTCTAGCCACTCTGGTTGTGAACAAACTTAGAGGAGCACTGAAAATTGCTGCACTCAAAGCCCCTGGTTTTGGGGAGCGAAAAAGCCAATATCTTGACGACATTGCTATCCTTACTGGAGGTCTGTCGACAATTAAGTGATTGTAGTGTTCCATGAAAGTTGTGTTTACTTGTCAAGTATGTTTTTGCAACGTGCACTCAGGTACTGTCATCAGAGAGGAGGTTGGTTTATCCCTGGACAGGGCTGGAAGCGAGGTCTTAGGCCATGCTGGAAAGGTGGTGTTGTCAAAGGATTCAACAACAATTGTTGGTGATGGTAGTACCCAGGAAGCAGTAAACAAAAGAATTGCCCAAATTAAAAGAATTGTTGAGGTGCAACTTTGTTTTATAGATATTTCGGATGTGGATCAATTTGTTGCAGTACTCACAATTCTACCATATTGGATTGTCATACAGGCAACTGAACAGGATTACGAGAAGGAAAAACTGAATGAGAGAATTGCAAAACTATCAGGGGGCGTTGCTGTAATTCAGGTTACTTGATGATTCAGTTATTTAGGTTGATTTTGTCTTTTTGGGTGTCATATGCCAAGTATAATTGTTCTTGCTCTGTTCTGGGGTTCTTAATTCCAGGTTGGTGCACAAACTGAAACGGAACTCAAAGAAAAGAAATTGAGAGTAGAGGATGCTCTCAATGCGACAAAGGTTTGTTTTAGTGGCGATGCAGTTATGGCATCTCTATGAACTTGAGACTCTCAACAAGTATAATCTTACTGGGGTAATGATATTGCTCTTTGGTAACTAAAGGCAGCCGTTGAGGAAGGCATTGTTGTCGGCGGTGGATGCACCTTGTTGCGGCTTGCTGCCAAAGTTGAAGACATTAAAGGAACTCTTGATGATGATGAACAAAAGGTAATGTAACTTCTTAATTCGTTGAGGATGATCCCGTGTACCATAAGCTTTGTCTGTTCATGTTAAGGCTTCTGTAGGCAGATGACACTAATTCAGTTTTCATAAACACTGCAGATTGGAGCTGATATTGTCAAGAGAGCTTTGAGGTACCCTATGAAGTTAATAGCCAAGAATGCTGGTGTCAATGGAAGTGTTGTGATTGAGAAGGTAAATAAGGTTGAAATAGGTTGACTGTTTGTGTCACATTGTAGGAGAGTATCAATGATTCGTTGACTGGTTTTATGATCTTTCTTCAGGTGTTGTCCAATGACAATCCGAAGTATGGTTATAATGCAGCCACTGGAAAATATGAAGATTTAATGGCTGCTGGTATAATTGATCCTACAAAAGTAAGTATCTCAAAGTCTTTTATTCTAGCATAACATCGTGAAACCTATCCTAAAGAGAAACAACATGCTGAGAGACATGTAGATAATTTCAACTATATGTACAAGCAGTGCAGAAGTTTAACCCCCATGAATTACTTATCCAGTGTAACTTCTTATGATGTCTACTTGATGAACTTAAATGATGGCCCTCCTTGTAGTCAAAAGCAATATCTGTCACGTTCAAACTATACATATCTGATTTTCTCCTCTCTTTTATTTTTTTCTGTTCGCAAATACTTATGGAATCTTTCTCGTATTAACAGTGTGTTTCTGTAACAACCTGTCTGAATGAGAGCAAGTTTCGTTTTTTAATTCCTAACATTTTGGACTTACAAAAGAGTAATGAGTGTTGATAGAGGGCCAGTCACAGCCACGTTTCCTCCTGAGTTTCTCGGAATTCAAATATCTACTTATTTCCTCATTTTTTGGAATTAGGTGGTAAGATGTTGCTTGGAGCATGCAGCTTCTGTAGCAAGGACCTTTCTAACATCAGATGCTGTAGTTACTGAGAACAAGGAGCCTGAACCTGTGGTTGCTGGAAACCCAATGGACAATTCAGGTGCTTATCTTTAGTGAGATGCATCTAAAATGCAACGGAATGGGCTTTCTGAACTAATCAATTCTTTTATTTTGATATTAAATAGGTTATGGATACTAAGCATTTGAAGGAGGCTAGGACATGCAGAGAACGGGTATGCCGAAGTCCAGCAGTGTGCCACTACACTCTGAATAGTATGTCTTGACTCTCTTGAGTAGGAATAGTAACGTAGAGGTGATTAATTGATGAGCTCCTTTTTTCAGTGAAAGGGGTTTCATGTTCCGTCCTTTACGCAAAGGTTTATCGGGATAGGTTATTATTTCTTCAGTTCTAGAAATGGAAATTTTTTAGTGAAATTTTGTTTTTGATGCTTTAGTACGTGTAGTGGTTTCGAACCTGCTGGTGGAAACCACACGTGATTCATTATTGGGAATATTCAATTTTTTTATGAGTAGGGCAAAATGATAAATAAGAATAAAGAACACGCTTATATTTTGATTGGAAGTACTTGCCAGGCAAAAGTGTTTCCTCAAAGAGGAAAAGAGATGTTGGATTTCAACTATTTTTGTAAACATTGCTTGAGAGTATATCAAAGTTTTGTCCCTGTTACTGTGGTGACAGTCCAAGTAGTAGATACTTTATGAAATTATGGCCGTCTAACGGGACGGGCCTAAACGGGGTCAAGGGCGGATCCATCCTATTGAAGGTGGCTTCCCTTGAACCCAGTAGCTTTTGCATATACCCTGTATATGTATTAAAAAACTCATTAAATATCCATAAATATTTGATTGTGAACCCAGTTACTTATTGTATATTTACTTAAGGTCGTTATAGGAACCCATAAGCTTTAAATCCTGGATCCGCCTCTGAACGGGGTGGGATATACGAGACGAAACGGTAGGCTCATCCATCCCGCTAACAAACGGGATGGGATGGGATGGTTCGCAGGCCTAAGTGGGCCTTTTTTTTTAAAAATTAATTTTTTAAGCATTAAGTTTGGCAACGGTTAGTTTTTTGGCAATAACTAAGTTTTTAAAGTTTGCAATGACTAGTTTTTTTGACTTATTTAATAAACTTAAAACTTAATAAATTATAAAGAACCTAAGTAAAGAATTATAAAATATTAAAATAAAAGACTTGTAATGGAATATTTTAGTAATTATAATAGAGTTGTAATTTATTTAATATAATTTCAAGCAATTAAGTAACTGAGTAAGAGTGTAAGATAAATCATAAAAAATATTCAAGGCTTAGAGCTTTTTATTTTATTAATAGAACTTTCAAATTTCACATACAAATATAATTCTTTTGAAAAACACCTAATCTACGCGGCCACCTTCTAGGAAGAGTTCTGTTTGAAGTTTGAACTAGGCCTCTTAGTAGCCAATTATAAATTATCATACTAATATTTGTAAGCTCCTATATAGCTTCGTTGTAAATTATCTATAATTTCTCTCGGACATTGTTCTGGAATTGACAATGTTGATTGATGTTCCATGAGTTCCATATCGTCATTGCTCCAGTGCTAAGTATCTCATTGTATTCTTCTTCTTTCATAGTAGTTAATTTTTCAAAACCAAGATTTCTTTTTTCTGAATTAATCCAATCTCTGAATAATACGGAAAGCTCTAGGTTGTCCTCCGCTAATGAATGTCTATGATCTCCGATTTGAAATCTTGCCGCGCTAAAAGCACTCTCTGATGCTATTGATGATGCTTGAATAGCCATGATTTCTCGGGCCATTATTAAAAGTGTTGGAAAAGCCTTGCCACGCTCCTTCCACCATGCCAAAAGTTGTTCGTTGCCTTCTTCGTCTTTAATACTTTCCAATTCTTGATTAAGATAAGAATCAAGTTCATCATCAATAGAGGAATCAAAACCTATTATATCATTCATACCTTCCCATAGAACTTCTATTCTAACCTTAGAAGTAGAAGGAGAAGTTTCATCACCTATTGTTTCCATAGATTTATATTTATCAAACATTGATCTAGCATAAGAATATATGTTAGCTTGGCAGTTTTCGAGATATGGTTGTTCATTTTTTTTTTGAATTGCTAAATTCTCATAAATTTTACGAAAGTCCCTTTGCACCTCTTAATTTTGAAGATGGATTAAGTAGAGTCGAAATTAAATAAACTTGGGGAATAACGAAAAAATACTTTTTAAATTTTGCAATCATTTCATTAATGGTCGGTGCATAAGTTGGATTTGTTTTATACTTATCAAATACAACCGAAATTTCACAAATATACCATAATATTTGTGTAACAGTAGGATAGTATATACCAGAAAATTATTTTGTAGCATAATAAAAAATTTCTAAAAATTTAGTAAGCTCTTTAATCTCATCCCAATCAGAATCAATAATTTGATCAGCAGGGATACCATTATGCATATTAAATATCTTTTGTATAGGCACCCGATAATCATAAGCAAACTTTAAGCATTTCGTAAGTAGAAATCTACCTAGTACAAACATCTTTTGGATTTTTTATATATAAAAAGTTAGAACTAACACATTGTTGAGCAAATTCACGAAGTCTACTCACTTTATTAGTACGGAAAATATAGCCGCAAACATGTTATACTTTACTACACGCATCAGAAAATAAATTAATACCATCTTTTACAACCAAGTTAAAAATATAGCATGCATATCTAACAGTTAAAACTTTATAATGAGCCCATGAAAATCAACTATTTGTAGAACAATAGTTGTAATATACGCTCCAGTGTGTTTTAAATCAACAAACTTAAAATCAATAATACGTTTTTGCATGTTCCAGTGATGATCAACTCAATGACAGGTAACAGTTAAATAATCACAACCATTAGGATTACGACCTATATCAGATGTGATATACACTTTACAATCTAAGTGAAAAAATACACAACGAATATTCTGAAGATATTTGGTTTGAAATTTAAGAACATCATTTCTAACTGTGGTCTTAGGAAAACCTTAAAAAGCAGGATTATAAGTTTCTTGTATGTAATGCACAAAAGTTTGGTGAGAAGGAAAAGTAAAGGTAAGCCACCATTTTTGCTAAGTTTTCACGATCTCTATCTTTATTATAGGGGAGTAAAATAGTACCAGAAGCAGGGTCAAGATATTATTGTAAAAAGTTAGAACCCCCCGCCAGATCCACTAGGAGCGTCAGTACCGGTGCTAGGCTCCCTAATTTTTTCGGCTTCTATTTGTGCTTGCATCCATAAAGATTTGTGCTCTTTAAGTGAGTGCCTGATTAAACCCCCCGTCCCACCACATTTGGTATGTATAGATTGTTGCTTACATTTTTCACATATAGCACGTTGATTGACTTTATCATATTTAAAAAAATTTCATACAAGTGATGTTTTAGCACGTTCAACCTTAGGCTTACCCCTTAGAGGAGGTACATGATGACTATAAAATATTCATATATTATATACTTAAAAATAAATTATTTTAAATAATATATATATATATATATATAATATGTCAATTATCTGTATTTTCTAATAGTATTTTGCAGGAAATAAAAATATATGATAAAGTAAATAAAGGAATAAAAAGAGAAGCACGAGACATCATGGCAATAGAAGCACGACGCATCATGGCAAAAGAACCACGAGACATCGTGGCACCTTATGAGATTTGATTTCTATAAATAGGATATTTGTGTTGAAAGGGGGAGGAAGATCATATGTGCCTAATTAACAACTTTTCTCTAGTTTTGGTCTTTGCTTCTTTCTTTATCTATTTCATATTATCTTGTAGTTTTGAACGGTCGTTTTGAACTTTTGCATTTTGATCGCCAGTTTTCGGGCATGACTTGCCCCGTGTAACGTATTATGCCTGATGTAGATCGTTGGTTTTGGTTTTCAGGAAAAATCGGAATGAATTTGAAGGAAGAATCTCAGTTGAAAGCTTTGAATTTGAAAGGTTGACTAAGAGTTGACTTATTTGTATATGAGTTCGGATCGGAAATTTTATGATTTGGATAGTTTCGTTGGGTGATTTATGACTTAGGAGCGCGATCGGAATGCATTTTTGGAAGTCCGTGGAAGGATTTGGCTTGAATTGGTAAAGTTAATATTTTGGCGAATTCCGGTTGATAGGTGAGATTTTGATCCGAGGGTCGGAATGGAATTCCGAGAGTTGCTGTAGCTTCGTTATGTCATTTGTGATGTGTGTGCAAAATTTCAGGTCATTTGGACGTCGTTTGGTCGACTTTTTGATCGAATTCGGATTTCGGAAGTTTTGGAATTCTTAGGCTTGAATCCGAGGGTGATTTGATGTTTTGATGTTGTTTTGAGCGTTCCAAAGGTTGGAACAAGTTTGAATTATGTTATGGGGTGTGTTGGCATGTTTGGTCGGGGTCCCATGAGGCTCGGATATGTTTTGGAAGAGTTTTTGGAAGATTTTGCCGTTTTGAGCATAAGCATGTAATGATCCAAAGGTCCATTTTTAGTTCTAGAGATCAAAATTTGATTTTGAGAATTCCGAAATTTTGATAATGAATTATAGGACTGATCTGGAAAGTTTGGTCTAATATTATCAAGTCGCGATTGAGTTTTTGACACGAAACATGAGTTAATTGTTTAACGAGCGAAATGGGTATTGAACTGAGCAAATGAGCTCCGAATTGAGTTTCGACTGAAGGACTATGTTCGTATTATTATTTGTGACTCATAGGAACAAGAATCATTGAATTCCGAGTTCGTATGATGAAGTTAGAGCCTTTTTAGTGAAAAGAAAAGTTGCTGCAATTTTCTAGGCAGTTTCTGCATTTTTCACACGCGTGAACAGTAACCGTACCTGCGTGAACAGTATCTGTGTACAGTACCATGTACAGTAAATATGAACAGTCCCGTGTACAATACATATGAAGAGTACACCGTATACAGTACCGTGAACAGTACCCATGAACAGTAACCACGGAAATTCTGGACAGAATGTTGAGTTTCCATTTTCCGTTTTTACCAAATTGGAGCTCGGGGAGAAGCGATTTTCGGGAGATTTTTAGAGAAAACAACGGGGTAAGTGTTCTTAACTTAATTTTGGTTAGATTACCTGAATCTATTACTAGTTTTGACATTTAATTGGTGATTTTAGTTGGGAAAAATTTGAAAACCCTCTTAGTTTAATTTGAAGATTTGGGGGTCGAGTTGATGTCGGATTTTAGTAAAATTGGTATGGTTGGACTCGTGGTTGGATGAGGTTTCATATTCCGTAATTTTTGTCGGGTTCCGAGACGTGGGGCCCACGGGCGAATTTTGAGTGCAATTTCGGATTTTTAATGGAAAATGTAAAATTTCACATGGAATTAATTCCTATATTTTTTATTAACTGAATCGAATTATTGTGGCTAGATTCTAGGCATTCGGAGGTCGATTTGAGAGACAAAGACATCGCGAGCTAGAGGATTAGCAAGTTCGAGGTGAGTAATGATTGTAAATGATGTCCCGAGGGTTTGAAACCCCGAATTTGCACATCGTAGTGCTATATTGAGGTGAGACACGCGCTGGATGATGAGCGCGGAGTTTTTTACTACCGGGGATTGTGACTTGGTC